TGATAAGCAGATTAAAATTCTGAAAGCATGTGATTTTGCTGTAAACACATTTTGATTTTCACTTCAATTGCAAACTAAAATATTTTAAATTACTTGTTTGCAATTGAAGTGAAAATCAAAATGTGTTTACAGCAAAATCACATGCTTTCAGAATTTTAATCTGCTTATCAAGTATTTGTTTATCATGTTTTTCGCGTGATGCTACTATGCATTAGTATTCCTTGAAATGAGAGCTCTGCTTATCTGTATAATAGGAATAATATTATTTTTAATATACAATACATTACAATATTAAGATGCTTTAAAGTTGTTCAATTTAACCTTATATTTTTAAGATAGACAAAATTTACATTATTGTTGATGTTTATATAAATTGAATTGATATAGATTTATCTTTTCCTATTTTAATTTTATTCAAAACCCCTTTATATACCGCACAATATATTAATTAAACAGAGAATTAATATAATGAGAACTTTATTATAGAGAAAGTCGTGATGTGTTTGTCACATACTATATATCTTGTCATTTATAATAAACACTTAAATCAAATATAGTGTTTACAATGAAGTACTATACAGTATAGTCTATACTGTACAGTATTATTCTGTACTTGATTCTATATATTGCATTGTATTTGCCTTTCATCATTATAAGTTTTTAATAATTAATTGATTCAAAAAATCTGTATATAAAAGTTAATTAAGAGTAAAAACGCGACGCTTTGTATAACAATACACCAGAGATTTGAACACTAGTTGTTAGGAAAGAATTTATTATATTTATCATTCAAAGCTTTCTCTCGTTTTTTATTTCTCTTGATGGCTCACTCACTGACTCCAAGGGTCTTAGAATTTTATGATATTCTGTAAACTATGTGAAGAATATATAATTATATTAATGCTTTTAAAAACCTATTATATCAAATGTATAATATTTTATGAAAAACCAAAATAACCAGTTAAACAAACAAATCAAAACAGAAATAAATTTTGAATTCAGATCTATTTGTAAAAGAATAAGATTTATAATGAATTCATATTAATTTTCAATGTTATCGTTATATTTGCAGTTAATCTAGCGAGTAAACTAGCAATAGTATACTATAATTATCACTATAAAAATAAATAATTAATTTTTCCATAAATTATATTGACTGCCAGAATAACTTAAAAAGAAGTGTTTGTTTAATAATCTACTTCTGATTTGTGAACAAATATTCTAATGTATGTTTCTATAGGTTTGCAAAAATTGTTTTCACTTATTTTAATTAAAATTATTTCAAACAATAGAATAAAAATTCTTTAATTAATATACTGTAGTACTTGTTGTATATATATTGTTCAGTAGTTTTAGATTTGGCCTCAAAAGATAAATGTAATAAAAGTGCAAAAATTAACGAATTCAAAAACCAAGCGAATAATTAAATCATAATAAATGTAACATATAATAGGGTTTAACTGTATTTATATGTTTCTCACTTTTAGATACAGTCGATAACATATTCTTAGATAAAATTGATAACAATATTCAATGAATTTTTAGTGTACTTCAGATATTCCGGAAAGTTTTACATTAATGAATAAAGTTTTCACATAATTGAACACTTGTTTTTAAAATAGTAAATAGTTTTGATTCAATGTTTTAGTCTCCAGTCATCATTTCCATGAACTCTAATGAAATGACAAAATAACAAAACAATTACAAAGAGTTTGTGAATGAAGTGAATGGTGACTAACCATCGAAGTCAACAGTTCCCGAGCCGTCGGTATCGATCTCAGCAATCATTTCGTCCAATTCGTCTTCAGTTAGTTTGTCGTCGAGAGCCCTCAAGATCTCCCTCAAGGCAGAGGTCGGGATGAATCCATTGCCTTCCTTGTCATACATACGGAAAGCCTCGCGTAACTCCTCCTGCATTGCCTCCGCGTCCTCTTCTACCAAGAATCGTGCGGTCAGTGCCAGGAACTCATCGAACTCCAGTTCACCACTTCCTACACATTCAGAGCACCATTACTTCATCTCTATACTCACTCCTATCAAGTCTAACTTTATTTATACTACATTTATCACAAATTTTACATAAATTATTATAAATGAATACAATTCTATAATTTTTTTCTAATAAACTTTGAAAACATTCAAAAGTCTACAAATAATTCAATAAAAACATAATCTATACCATCGGAATCGATTTCAATGATGAGCGCCTGTAGGTCTCCCTCCTCAAAGGTCTGGCCTAACGTTCTTAATATAGTGGAAACCATATTGGTGTGGATGTGGCCCTTCTTGTCCCGATCAAACATATCAAATGCTTTTCTAAGCACTTAAATGTAAATCAAAACAAATAAATAGAAATATTAATATTGAAAATAATGAAAACAAATAGAAGGTTAAGAGGATGGGGACGTCATTCAAGTGCTTAAAACTGTATATATTTTTAGAAATATCACCCATAATAACATAGAATAATTCAATTGTATAATTTTAAACATATAACTTTGAATTATGTTTTTTATTTAACTATAAATTCATAAAAGTATTTGTGACTTCTGATCTTAAACATGTTTATATTTCTATTATATAAAGTACTTTTAGCAGTTAATAGTTAAAACTGATTTCAGATATTCGGCATATTTTCAAGAGATTTATATTTATAGAAAATAAGTGAATGGGTTGTATTGAGTGCACCACTTGTCACACATAGCACACAAGAAATTGCATTTTTAAGATTTAAGTAAAAGTTAGGAAACAAAATGTTAAATAATAATCCTGATTACATTTTTTAAATTTTTCAATATTATAGTAAAATTTTTATAAAATAATTAATATTCATAGATTTATAACCTAAATGATATAATCTTAAAAATTTTGAGCAGATTTTTAAAATTATAAAATATTTAAAAAGTTAGTCAATTGATATTAAGTAACATTTAATTTAATTTATCTATATATTTAAGTTATGAGAAAAGTTTATGAATTAAAGCTAATATCCTAGGCATGAGTGACATATTGTTAGCGAGATAATATATAGGTTGACTTACTCTGAACCTGTTCTTTAGAGAGCTCTTCGGCAGACTATTGTTACATGAAAAAGACAAACAAATATTTAGTTTTGACATTAATTATCGATATGAAAGAATATACAATTAAATTGAATAGAAATCATACCATTTTGTTGGAGAGATTGCACGCAAAGCAACGCTTTTTAACTTTAGAAACGAATGTCTGTTTAGACGAAGAACTGAAAAACACGACACGAATGACGCTTACAATGAAATTGTGAGAGCGTTTGTTTGGGGCATATCTGGAGCACCAGAATCTCACTTCAATTCTTCAGACCATTTTTGGACGGAAAACGAGTCACGTGTGCACTACTCCGGCTCTAATCATAGAGTCGGGCGTATAATATAGCACTCCATAGCCCTCACCATAACTTCTTTAACAGTTATTTTTGGAATATTTTATTCAATACTTTTAAGAGAATCCCATGAATATTGTTTAGCTTATCGTATATGCCATTCGTTAACCAATTTTAATGTCTCCCGATTATTTATGTTTTCATAAATTCTTTGTTTAACACATTTTTTTCAATTCTAAGAAATCTTTTGATAAACATATTTTCGTATTAGTATATTATTAGTAATATATTACTTTATTTTATATAAACCAAAATGAAAATAGTATATATTTTCTATAATTCTAATTTTTATAAAAACATAATGCACAATTCTATCATATAATTTACTACTTTAGAAATCTATTTTAAAAAGTATAATTATGTAAACACCCCGTAGAAACTTTAAATTATTTTAAATACTGTATTTTAAATAGTTTTATAGATAAAAATATATAAATACAGTATTAATAAAATCCCAAATTATGAATGTAATGTTAAATTAAAGTAAATTTAATTTTAAAATTATAATAAAATTTTTCCAAAACTAAATACCATATTATATAAAAAACAGTGTAATAATGGGTGCAAATGAATACATTTAATTTATTGCCAATTAGTTATAAAATATACAAAATATAAAATAAATTATTATTGACAGTATTGATATTGAAAATTAAGTTAATATTACTTATAAATCATATTTAGTAGACTAAATGATTTTGATAATGCATTTAAATTTAGTTCATTAAACTGATATAAAAGGAGAATTGAATTCATTTTATGCAAAGACTAACAGAAAATGTGAATTATTGGCAACGAGTCGGTGCACTAGTATTATGACGACAAGAATATTATGAACAGCTTTACCGGCACTGAAAGAAAGCTTTATTTCTTGTGTGTGTTTCAAAGCAAAGCATCAAAATTTAAGTCATGTTAACACTCGACGGCAAATAATTCTCAACATTTCTATACAAATAAAAAGTGAATTTTAAATAAAAGTTCTCAACGTTTCATAATAGATAACTATTTGTAAAATCAATTTTAATTGTAGTATCATTTGAGCATTCAACTAAAAATATTAGTAGTTGTTTAAAATTTGCAATAAATATTAAATAAACTTTTGTAAATATTTGGATTTAATGAGATATTCCTGATATTTTACACACAAATGGTATGTTTTCCTTAATATTACCTTTAATTCATTGTTTTAAATGTAAATAAAATATAAATATAAATTTATTTTATAATTATTTGCTAATAAAATATTTGGAAAAATATAAGAAACACGTTCATATTTGTAATTAAGAAAAATGTTACAACAGCTATAATTAGGGTCAATTAAAATACAATTTATATTTTATATAAAATGATTGCAGATACAATTTTTAATTCTAATATTAATTACGAATATACTAAAACTCTTTTAATATAACAATTACTTGTTTTATAAATATGCTTATGCATATAAAATTATTTTACAAATTATATTGATTTTTATTCATTAATATTATTAAAAATAAAATGTAATTGTGTTCTATTTTAACCAAAACTTATTATTTCTTATAACGAAAATCATAATTTTTATGAAATATGAAATTAGATATATCATACATTTGTATGCATTCAGGGATATAGTATTATATAGTAGTATTATAAAATTACAAAATTGTTATAAAATACAGTACTCTTCATGTGAATGCTTTCATATGATGGACATTGGCAATGTCACATTGCATATTAAACTTAATATTACTACAGTAAGTAAGAAAATGTTAATACCTGTATGTCAAAATATGTAATTAAATTTATAACATAAACCTAGTACTGTATTCTTTATTTAAAGCCTATTTATCTTATAATAAGTTAGTGTAAGACTCAAAAGATAAAGACAAATTTGCATGTTTTGTTTAAATTAACTATTATTAAACTAAATAGACTTAAATTGTTTAAATTATAACTTTAAATAGTTTTAAATAAACTTTTTATGTTTTAAAATTTTATAAAACTACTCTCAAAACAATAAAATTTGCATTTTAATCATTATTTTAAATGAATGTTAATTTAATTTTAACTTTTATTGCTTAAGATTTTAAGTTATTTAATTGTATACTGTTTAATAACTATTTACACATATCATACTAAAATTCTGCTAAATCAATAAAATAGCATCGAAATTTAGTTTAAAATTTAATTGACTTTAACATCTACAATTTGTACAATTCATGTTTATATTTATAATATTAATTAATTTCTAAAAAGATTGTTTTTATTTGCAAATTAAATTAAGAGATAAAATAAATATTTTATTTTGAATTTATTTTTAAAAGTATATTTGTCCCTTTTAAAAATTTCATTAATAAAATTATTTAGCATTTTCTAGAATATCTATGTTAATAATTTCAAAAATTAAATACAAAATTAAAAATTAGGTATATATAATAAGTTTAAACAAATATTTTTTGTACTGTACATATTGATATTATAATATATTTTATTTAATAAATTCTTTAAAAAGTTTATTATTTACAATTTATAATTTGCATAATTAATTAATATTACATAAAAACAGTATTTCTATAATACTAAAAATTTAGATTTCTTAAAAGAATTGTTGCCTGATATAATTTATGTTACATAATATTATTTTTAAATTCCAATCACTTCAATGAGTAAATGATTTATTCAATAAGAAATGGTAAAAGTGCCAATAAGTCTGGTTTTGATAACAAAATATTGGCAAATAATC